CAGGATGCAATCACCTCCCTTGTCCCAGCAAGGGCTGGAGAGCGGCCAGGCAGCACAGCCAGGCAGCACCACGGGTCCAGCAGACAAATGCTTCTCACCAGCTTGGGTTTGCTGCCAGCCGCCCCGAGCCCTGCTCCCGGGGTCAACTCTGTTCTGCTGGCAGGGGTAGGGCAAAGCACCAGCCAGCAGCAGGTTGGCTCCTTCTTCTACCCCTGCCCAGCTTCCCAGAGCTGTGGGCACGTGGACACAATATGCAAAGTGCAACAGAGGAGCAGTGGGGATTGCTCAAGCGCTGGGCCTTGGCAGCACTCCCAGCAGGACCGGCCAGCGAGGGCGATGGCAGCGGGAAGCCACCCAGAGCATCTCTCCACTTCAGCCAGAGCATCTCACAACCCCAGTCCTGCTGCAACCCAGACAGGGAACAGCCCTACCCTGCACCAGCAGCCCGAGGACACCACAAGCACCCTGGTCCCCAAATTGCTCAGGAATTCCTGCTCCATGAGGGAAGTGAGCCAGGTGCCCAAGTTCCATCCACATCTGTTTAGGAGACCGATTTTGCTTAGGGATTTGCAAGCACCCCGCACTCCACAAACCAGCCAGAGGCTTCATCCTGGCATGATGCCAGCAGAACCGGGCACGGGACAGAGCCATGCACGGTCAGAGCTCACGCTCTGCCGCTCCGCTGCCAGGGTACAGTGAGATCTTTCCGTCTGGCCTGACATACCAGATGCAAAGTTTAAATTTAAATTGAGGGGTGGGGGGTGGCAAGCGAGAAACCGAATCTCCACGGATGGAGAGCCGGCAGAGGCATCACACAGGACCCAACACATGCACATTTTTCTGCACACACGTCACCCCGGCGGGGGGAGGAAAGGGACGAGCCGACTCCAGCCACTCCTCTCCCGCGTGCTTATCACCACACGTATATGTGGAGAAAGGGAAACTTTGAATGAGTCACTGCAGCCGCATGGGAACCACGTCACGCTTGCCATGGGCGCCAGCGCGCGCATGTCAGATGTGCCAA